GGCAGCGCCGTTGGCTCGAACTTGTCAAGGATTACGACTGCTCTATTCAGTATCATTCGGGAAAGGCGAATGTCGTCGCAGATGCCCTAAGCCAAAAGGTGAAGGGTGACTTGACATATGTCATTACCCAGCAGAGTCCGTTGATTCATGAGTTTGCCCGGATGCAGCTTCAGGAGATCGATGCACTTCCCATAGCCGTTTCGGGGAGTACCAGTGCCAGTGTCAGTGCTATGCAGCTTCAGCCGATGCTGAAAGAGAGAATCCGGCGAGAGCAGGCTTCTGACGAGTTCATTCGCGTCATGGAGGCCAAGGTTCGCGCCGGAGGTGTCGAGGATTTCCAGTTAGGTGCCGATGGTGCCTTAGAGTTCAGAGGCAGGATCGTGGTCCCGAAGGTCAAGACGTTGCGGAAGGAGATATTATCAGAGGCTCATACCGCACCCTATCTGGCCCATCCCGGGAGCACGAAGATGTATCACGACCTAAAAGGGTCGTTCTGGTGGCGCGGCATGAAGAAGGATGTCGCCGAGTTTGTTAGGAGGTGTCTTACCTGTCAACAAGTCAAAGCCGAACATCAGAGTCCGATCGGCCTCCTGCAGCCACTTCCGATTCCGAGGTGGAAGTGGGAGGAAGGCACGATGGATTTCGTTACGGGATTACCGAGGTCGTCTGAACATCACGACGCTATCTGGGTCGTGGTCGACAGATTGACTAAGGTCGCGCATTTCTTACCCGTTTCGATGAAGATGTCTCTGGACAAGTTGGCTGAGATATATACCCGTGGGATCATCCGACTCCATGGAGTGCCCATCACTATTGTATCAGACAGAGATCCCAGATTCGTCAGTCGATTCTGGCACAGTTTACATGAGGCGATGGGCACGAAGCTAGAGTTCAATTCAGCCTACCATCCGGAGACGGACGGTCAGTCAGAGAGGACTATTCGGACACTTGAGGATATGCTTCGCGCTTTGGTTGTTGACAGAGGTGCTAAGTGGGAGTCGTTGTTGTCGTACGCCGAGTTCGCGTATAACAACAGTTATCATTCTTCCATTCAGATGGCTCCG